GGCCAGGGCGCAACGGCGCGTCTGGTGTTACGCACATCTGTGTTCAAACCCCTGCCATAAAAAAAATACAGCCGGGCTGTAGCGGCCTTAGGGCCCGAAGTGCATCACCACACCCAACAGCAGAGATAAAAAGCAGGGGTGGTGGAAAACTCTCAATGGCTGCAGCATTTTCAGGGAGGAAATGGATTTTGATAAAGAGATAGGATGGGTGGGAGGGCGAGGCTAATGTGGTGAACGGGCAACAACTAATAGATGCCAGCAGTTTCAGAGTTACAGTTTTTTTTTTTTTCAATTTTCACACATGAATTTACAGCATATTCAGACCACTCAACAATCTGTCTTAGATTATAAGGTGTATTTGGGATTAGAAGCAAACTGTGCACCTTGTTGAATGTTCTCCTGTGTCCTGCTAAGTTAACCAAGCTGGTACCATTCATCTGTTTCTCTGCTTTCAGATGAAAGTATTCCCTCTCTGATTTCCAGTCACACCTGTTCTTTTGTTATTGTTTTTTTTACAGCAGCTCTTTTCTTTTTATTTCTAGACAAGATGACTCACCACTGCACCAAATTCTCCGGCCACTGGAAGGTGAGTCCGCAGGTGTTGGCCTAGACTATGACATCACCTGGGCTTTTCAAACCGTAAGGTATCCCAAAGCTGGGACTTATCATACGAATTAGTAAACCTAACAGTCCGAAGTCAAACCTTTTTGGTTCTGTTGTGAGTTTGAGGCTAATCTTAGTCCGGATTAGCCTTTTTTTTTTTCATAGCCGGCCTTTGTTTCCCTGACAGATCATTGTCTACGATGAGGAGTGCTTCCAGGGCCGCCGCCATGAGTTCACCTCGGAGTGCTGCAATGTGATGGAGTTTGGCTTTGAGACTGTGCGCTCCCTCAGAGTGGAGAGTGGAGCGTGAGTACAACTGCAGCACAAAATGCCGCGCTGTCGCTAAAGTCAATGTGGAACAATCAAAATAGTAAAGTGAATACTGCCGGTGTTCTGTCAGATGAGCATTCCCGGCCAGACCAGCGTACCCATTGTTAATACCAGTTTATCCCTTTAAATCAATCAATCAACTTTATTGTCAACTAAAACTAACATAGCAATTGAGATTTCAGTACAAACCTTTCATCATATACATCACATACATTAGGGTGGGTGGGGAGCTGAGAGGGGGAACGGTTTTACTGAGGCCATGCGTGCCGCAGAACGCTGCCTTTGGTGCGTTCTTATGGCTTCCCAGGTCCCCACCGGGAGGCGGTTCCCTATAGCGCTGCCTTTATCTCTGTGCCACATTTTGGAGAAGTTTATCCCTTAAGTTAAACTACCTCAACGGGAGTGTATCTCTTTAGTCATGTACAAAAAAAACTATTTGATTACTTAATTGTTGGTGTTTTTAGAAGTGTATGTCGATCTTACCTTAATTTGTTTTTCTGAAGTATATTACTAAAGGGATGCACCCTCATTGAGGTAGTTTAAAGTCTATTTTTTGTACAAAACTAAAGGGATAAACACAAATCTGTATTGACTATTGGTATGCTGGTCTGTCGTGGTATGCTCACCTGGCTGAACACCGGTACTAAGAGCTGCTCTCCTTGCTTCATGCCAGCTGGGTGGGCTATGAGCATGCCTCCTACCAGGGACAGCAGTTCATCCTGGAGAGGGGAGAGTACCCCCAGTGTGATGCGTTTGGAGGCAGCAACGCCTATCACATCGAGAGGATGACTTCTTTCAGACCGATTGCCTGTGCTGTAAGTCTCTACTTGTCTGTGTTGCTTTAGGTAAAGCTAAATTAGATAATTGCTTTATACCTGTCGGACCAGACCAACAGCTTCGCTGTTCTTGTGTTTGTGCCTCTCCTTCCTTGTTAACCCCCCCATACAGAACCACAGAGAGTGTCGTATGACCATCTTTGAGCGTGAGAACTTCATGGGCCGTAAGGGTGAGCTGAGTGATGATTACCCCTCCCTCCAGGCCATGGGCTGGTGCAACAATGAAGTTGGATCTTTCAGGGTCCAGTCAGGGGCGTAAGTGATCCCAGCTGCCTTTCTAGACATCTCTCTATATTTTAACCGTAACTTTAACACATTTTGTCACCCCCTCAACTCCTCTCTCTCCACAGATTTGTCTGCTACCAGTTCCCTGGTTACCGTGGCTACCAGTACATCATGGAGTGTGATCGTCACGGCGGGGACTACAAACACTTCAGAGAGTTTGGCCCCCAATGCCAGACCCCTCAGATCCAGTCCATCCGCCGTATTCAGCAGTAACAGCCTCCCCACTGAAAGGAACCCGATCACCATTTGACCCTTCACCTCTGACCTCTGCTGTCCTCTGATGCTGAATAAACTGTTTTTCTTAAATCCTACCGATTTACACCAGTGTATATGGTTATGTAAGGAAGACGTGTTGCACGTTTTACTCACAATTTTATCAAATATGTTTCCTCCTCCATTGGTCAAATGATGGCGCTCAGGGTTACCTTGCTTTAAGTGGCTAAATTAGTAAAGAAAAAGACCAATAAAGAACCAGATAAACGGTTTATCTTTTCAGGTTGAATTTTGTATAACAAAAATTTCCACTTTTTACTTTCCATCTATGAATCTGAGCAGCTTTTGACTTCCCACCAAACACCAGAAATCATTTAAACATTTGTTTTTAAGGCTAAATCTGGTCGGTCCATCATTGTCTTGATTTAGTCCAAAACTCATTATGGAAAATTGGGCTTTGTTTGGTTGGTCTGATTTTTTCCAACTTTAGTCCAATAATACACGTCAAAAAGAGTTTCACTGAAAAAAATTATGCAATCGCTTTTGGGATTTACTAAATCATGTTTAGTTACTTTAACAAAAATTTTTATGTCCTACCCTGCTAACATGAAACAACTGAGTTAAAGTAACTAAATATGATTTATGAAGTAAATGCCAAAAATGGTTCTGTTCATTTTTTCAGTGTTGCAAACCCAGTTTTCAACATCTTTTCAACAATCGGAAAATTACAGCTTTTCACCGTTCACATTAAAAATAACTAAATCTAAACGTCGTTTTGATATAAATCATGTCTTCTTTAACCCGCTTGTTTTATTATTTAGTTTGGCTGTTTATGGAGCCGACCTTTTTAAATATTTGTTTAAATATTTCATTTTTGTATCTCAAATGTTTACAAAGTTAAAAAAAAATTGATTGTTTCAAATACATTTTAATAAGTTTGAGAGATTTGCTAACATTTGCCGACCAAAGTATGGGGACAGGACCATCAGTTAATTCTGGGGACCTTCATTCACATTATAATTTCAATTAAGGTTGACAGTTATGTTGTTAAACTGCTACATTTATCAATATTATGAATCAGATTTTTTATAATAAGAATAATAACAATTAACCAGTCTCTTCCCCAACTGGTTTATTCTTCTTTTACCTTTTGTGATCTTATTCTTTGGGAGAAATCACACTTCTGGTCTTTTAATCCAATAAACACAAGTGATAGCACAGGGCCTAAAAATAGTAGGGAGGAACCTGTAAATTTACCTTTAAAGCCACTTTTATTTAGAATGAAATTGAACAGAAAATCCCGTTAATATCCTGCAATATTTAAAAAGTGCATTTCAAACTCAAATTCACTTAAAATTCTAAACAAACTAATATAATAATACGGTATTTGTAAATTTGTTTTTTTAAGGTTCAAATGATTGACCATGTTGTAGTATAATCTAACAGAATAACACAACAGAATATTTATAACTTCATACCTAAAACAGCCTCCATCTTCTTTCATTAAAGCAAAGGTTTGACTTCAGAGGACATTTATCCAGACCTATTAAAATGTTACAAACCTTATTATTATTTATTTTTTCAGTGTCCTGTCTGGCCATGTGGTAATAAGAAAAATTTGTCCTGATGCCAAAAGAGAGCCCAACAGATTTTGCTTTCATGAGTGGAGCAGTACGGCTATCGCCATAGTGTTCCCCTTGATTTATGCATATAAATAGCTTTGTTATAATTCATCCAGGGAGTATTAGAGATTTTATGGACAGTGGAATGTAAGTAAAACAGGAAAGGAAAAACAGGAAAAAGGAGAAAAGATGAAAGAAAGAGGAGATAAAGGCAAGACAATGATAAAACATCCTCAGTCTGCTTCATCACCTGCAAAGAGATGTAAAAAGAACAGCATAACCAACGGATATAGTATGCGAGATACAATGAAGTAGCACCTTGATACTATTGCTGAAGTATAAGTAGTATTATTTAATCTGATACGTATACTGCTGTAGCTGAAGATAAGAATATGGGCTTTCTGAATGGAAGTTAATTTACAACAGATACGTTTTTTGTTGCTGTTGTTCAATAAAAGTAAGTTTTAAGATCCTTTGAGGCGATAATACACTTTAAAGCGTCACTATATGGCCCATTTACCGATTTAATGCGTAATTAAAAAAAAAAAATTGTTGAGAGGACCACGGCAACCAGCGGAGCTCCGAGGGTAATAGCAGCCAGGTCTAACCCCTGCCCGTCTGCAGCAGCCCTCTCTCTGCATAGGTGTGTGAAGGACCGCTGGTTTTTTGTTTTATTTTGCAAACTATTCATTTGACTGGTGTTTATCTGACTATGTTCATTATTATTCCCCCACTAAATGAAAAAGTTATCATTTATTATCATCTAGAGACTATTAATAACAGGAGATAAAATGCAGCTCCAGATGAGCAGAGCGTGTGGTGATGTCATCAGTATGATTCTGTTCCAATTGACCCAGATTGATGCTGTTTTCTTCTTAATAACATACATGGCGGGAACTGTACTCGAGTTCTTGTGGGTTGAAAAAAAAACGGTAATTGTCACAGGGGGCACTGCCACCCGTAGCCCCCCCTCTAGAACCGTCCATGAATGTTTGCCAGGAGGGAGGGGGTCTGAAAAAACAAACGCTTCCTTCTCCAAACACCGAGCTCCGGCCCCTTCCCCAGACTGATCCGCTCCATGTTTTACGTTTCTCTCCCCGCCGCAGTGGGAGAGGAAGTCAAACCGAGCAGAGGCGCTACCGTGTTAGCAATAAAAAATAAAAAAATCATATAGATAGATAAATGTACAGCAAGGAGGGTCTTTAAGCGAACATGTGCCATATTTGTGCTCGGGGACGACACGTTTAACCGAAAGGAGCGGGCTCCGTGGACTGAGGCAGCGGAGGGAGACTGCTGCTCCTCAGGCAGAGAGAGAGAGAGAGAGAGGGGGAGAGAGGCTCCCCGATCACCGACAGCCTGAGAGCAGGAACCGCACACTGGCTGAAACAACGACCTGCTTTTACTTCTTCTGAGGAGATTCCCCCTCCAAAAAAAGGTGGAATAGTGTTTCTTTATTCGGTGCTGAAGGAATCCAGCCGCATCCCGAACCATCGCCGCCTTAACGGTCATTAACCTGGGCTTACCGCCGCGCTGCCTGCCTTCCTCCCCCGGTCCCCGCCAGCCCAGAGACTGCCTCTATGCGCTGGCTCCTGGAGCTCCTCAACCAGCCATGGACTGTTTTTATTATCTTTACTGATATTTTTCTCCCGGAGTTCCCGGACCGCGGGGGGCTGTTCCTCGGAAGTGCAGCCAGACTTCCCCAATAACAGGGAGACGGAAGCAGCCGTTAGCGGCTTTATTTTAGGCAAACTGCGGCATGGTTTGGGAGCAGCGCCGCTGTTAGCCAACCAGCCTGCGGTAGACAGCCAGCTGATCCTGGGGGAACATTTTAATGAAGCCTGGCTGCTTCTTTAGCCTCCTGGCTAACAGCTTCACATTCAGCTAACTAGCATCCTGGCTAACTAGCACCCGAACATCGGCAGGAGGCTACAGCGCGTTAGCTCCACGGCGCGTGGATTTGGGCTGTGATTAGTTCATCGGGGCCGCTGTGGATTTTAGAGCAAAAAAACCGCTGAAGGTGTTTTTATCCGTGTGTTTTTTTTTTTTTACCAACAGTATCTGTGGCGTGATTTGTGCGCCGCGCGCGGAGAACTTCAACCGTAACAGGAAGGAAGCGAGAGAAAAAAAAGGACAAGAAACCCTGAAGGATTGAAATCATCATGACTGCTGCCCGTTTTTCACCGTCAGACCGCCCGGGCTCATCTGTACCAACAACCGCTTAGGATAAACATCTATTTTTGTTTAAACCCCGTCCTAGAAGGCCTCCTGGAAATCACCCCCCTCCCTCCTAAATGTGATGCTTTGAGCAAAACGAGCCACACGTGTCTCTGTTTGTTTGCCGTGAGGCCAAAGAAGCGATCGAGTCACAATTGTGCACATTTCACTAAAAGTGAAACATTTTCACCATCTGAAGGGGCAGGAGGACCGAGGAGTGAAACCTCATGAGGACCTGGACCAGAACCGATCCTTTGGACGCGGTTTTCAGCAGGGAATCCCGGGAGACGCGCAGGATTTGACAGCTGTCCCCTAACGGAACTAGCCCCCCCGGACAGAGGCTGCAGCTCACCGCCTGATCTCATCTGTTGACCCCCGTCCACCTGAATGCCCCCCCACCTCCTGCATGATTTTATTTCTTATTTCTAAATGATGGTGGCTTGTGGTTAGCAGCCACAGAGAGACACGATTCCGCTTCCTCCAGACCCCCCCTCCCCTTTACCACCCCCCCCACCCGGCATCTGCTAGAAGGAACACAAACAAAAAACACTTTTTTTTTTATAATCCCTCCTAAATAATTTTTAAAAAGCACCACAGGAAGCCTGATTGTTCTACTAGTTTGTTCGTCCAAAGGGTGGAAACATGGCGGACCTGGAAGCGGTGCTCGCCGATGTCAGCTACTTGATGGCGATGGAGAAGAGCAAATCTACTCCTGCGGCACGCGCCAGTAAGAAGATCATCCTCCCTGAGCCCAGGTAAGCTCATCAGCGAGGCTGAGCGAGGCTGACTGATTGTTGCTTTTAAAATGGTCAGTCTGTGGAGCCATGAAGGAGGAAGGAGGCGTGTTTACTGTCAAACCTGCCTCTGCTCCACGTTGGTTCACAAAGGAAAGGGATGCATTAATAGAAGTGTTGCACCGATTCCCTTTTTGGCCCCGATACCGATACCTGGCTGTGCAGTATCAGCCGATACCGATACCATGTGTTTGAAATTGATGTGTGTGAATATATGAGGAACTGCATCCTACTTGGATGTAAATTAATCACCATCATGGCTTTGTCAAGCTGCTGCCTCAATTGTGAAGCAGGAAAAAGTCTAATACAAAGTGAATCCAGTAGAACTTTTTATTGCCTACCTGGAATGGGTGACAATAGTTGAATAAACTTTTGGCTCTCTAAATGGTATCGGTGCCCTATTTGTTATGCTTGCCGATACCGATACCACCATTTTAAGCTGGGAATACACTGCGATTTTTAATATTTTATTAAATTGTTGCATGCAGCTGCAGCTCACACCGTACGACGAAAGCTCAGGGAACCAGAATAACGGGTCCGCACCTTAAGAATGGGGAGTCGTTTGGGTTATTTGTTAGCTTGCAATACCCAATACTGGTCTATGCCTCTGAGAGGGGGGTCATTAGGGGGAATTGTTGGCCTGGATGACCAGGCGAGATGTTTTTTCCCCTGCTGGTGGGGGTTGAAATGATAACAGGAAGGAATAAAACTATAGCTGCATTGTAGGTTTTTGAAAGCTAAAATCTGAGGTCCCCCCCCCCCTTTAAGGTTAGTTTTTCTTAAGAAATCTGGCTTCTTTCACGACCTTATAGTAAATACTCCTTAACTTTGCTCAGCTGTGCTGCAGACGCCTGTTGCTGCTACTGTAAATAAACATCAGTTCAATCTATACATTTAAATATTTATTCATTACAAAAATACTTTTTAAACCCACACAAAAATTAAATGTTGCAGTAAATCATGGGATTTTTTCCCCCTTTTTTTAAAGGAGTTGTTGTATGAGTTGATAGCTGTAGGCAGGAAGGATCTTCTGTAGAGGTCTGTCTTGCATCTGATCTGGAGAATCCTCTGACTGAAGACACTCTGTTGTTGTTTAACAGTCTGATGAAGACGATGCTGTCTGTTGTCCATAATGTTCTTCACTTCTTGTAAAATCATCTCCTGAGTTTCCAGAGGAGCTTCTAGAACACAGCTGATCTTCTTTAACGGCTTGTTAAGCTTCTTTAAGTCATTTGCTCTGATGCTGTTATTCCATCAGCATTTTTGTGCTAAAAGCCCTAAAAAGAAAAGGCGACAACATATTTGAACAAAGACATGGCTGAGCATGCGTGGCTACTGTGGTCTGCTAGTTTTATAGAAAGAACTCCATTTTACTCAAACCCCCGGCATGCCTCCGTCTTTTCATCTGAGAGGAAGAAGAAGAAGAATCCTTGTTTGTATACTGAGCGATTTTCCCACGACAGTCGGGAGAAAACCTCCTGAGCTTGCGAGTCCTGATCAGGAGGCGATTGTTAGAGGCTTATCGCCCCTTGTTACTTCCTGGGCACTACATGATGCACGATTGCGCTGAAAGTTGGCCCGATCAATAAATTCTCGCATGACAGGAAAGTCGCTGAAAAGGGCAAAAAAATCGCACATTGTATGCCTGTCTTTACTGCAGGATCTGTGCCCGGTCTGATACTGGTATCAGTATCGGTGCAACACTTATTAAAATAGACCAAAACCTTTTTTTTTCTCTTCAGTTTTCTGTAAACAATGATGCAGCTCTGCTTTCTTGCAACCAGACACCGTAAAATGAAACATCCACTACATGATTTGCATGTTTTTTAATGGGCCAACTCGGCTTCTCTTGGCTTACACCGCTTTCTGTCCTCCTGTTTTTTTCTGGTACATTTTCAATTATTTTCTTAAGAAATTAAATTCATACAAGTTTATTGAAGGGATGCATGGTCTGTGGATAGTGTTAGTAGTTTTGAATCCTACAAAAATCAACAGAATAACAAGAATATTGTCAACGTTTCTACTACACTGGAAAAACAATCTAGAAATAAGTAATTTCTAAAATCAAGGGTATTTACCCTTAATTTGAGTAGGTAAATGAGTTTGCCAATTAAATGAATATTTTTCCGCTTAAAATAAGATAAGTAGATAACATGCACTCAAAATAAGACAATGCAATTGTTTTATCTTATTTTAAATGTAAATTTTCTTGTTCCATTGGCAATGTCTCTGTTACCTCCTCAATCCAAGAACAAATGCACTTATTTTAAGAAAAAATTTCTTATCTAGATTTAGATTTTTTTTCCAGTGTAGATGGTGACTCCCACAACAGGATGTAGGTTATTTAATGTCTGTCTAGGTTTGATTTGAAAAGGTGCCTCTGATGAGGAACTGACATGAAAGAATCAACAGGAGGAGGTTTCTGTTTTTATAGCTGCTTTAATTTTAAAGGAAAAGTCTGATCAGCAAGGAACAATCAATGGATCATTATTTATACCTAAAAATTAATACGTTCACAGATATAGCAACACCTCAATCCTGACATCTTCCCGCAGTGACGTCAGATCAGCATACCCATAGTAAATACCCGTATATCCCTTTTAGTTTAGTACGAAAAATATACTTTAAACAACTTAGCAGGTGTTAATCCCTTTAGTCATGTACAAAAAACTATTTAATTACTTACTTTTTGATGTTTTTTGAAGCGTACAGCAATCTGACCTTAAATAGTTTTTTTTGTACAAGACTAAAGGGATACTTGCCCATCGAGGTAGTTTAAAGTTTATTTTTCGTTTTAAAACTAAAGCACTAAATGGGGCTAAACTAAAGGAATAATGTGGACTAGTATGAAGGAATGCAAATCTGACATGTTGCGCATGCTTAGTGAGTATTGGTATGCTGATCTGACAGAACACCGGCAGTGACGTCACAGTGCGGTAAGCCTAGCGCCATTCTCCCCGCTTTACAAGCTAAATCAATGGGAACTACTAGACACATCTGCAATCAACAACAATTATTGAAGATTTCCAGAGGACTTCACCATTGAAATTCACCAGAGCTATAGTGAAACTGACAATGCCCATGTGCATGGATAAAAGTGAAAAAAAAAAAAAGATTATTTCCCTAAACACTAGGCCGCTGTTCTGTCAGATGAACATAGCCATAGTCAATACCCATCTATCCTTTTAGTTTATCCCTTAAGTTTTGTATGAAAAATAGACTTTAAACCACCACCACGGGCGTGTATCCCTTCAGTCATGTTCAAAAAAACTATTTAATTACTTACTCTTTGATGTTTTTTGAAACGTATGGTGATCTGATCTTAATTTTTTTTATTATAAAGGGATATATATGCTCGTTGTGGTAGTTTGAAGTCTATTTTTCATACAAAACTAAAGGGATAAACACAAATCTGTCGTCTTGTGCATGCATATTGACTATGGGTATGCTGGTCTGACAGAACACGCCATTCCCCATTTACATGAATAAAAACAAATGAATCAATGGTAACAAATGTTACAGAAGTCTCAATCTCTACAGAAACTTATTAAAAAGATCCAAGAAAACATTATCAATGGATGTCAAACTGAGGAAACGGTTTACATGCATTTTATGTGATCTGAAGGCACTGATAAATCAACCAACCAAGGAAAACACACAAATATTGGCCTGTCGGGCCAAGTATTGGTTTATCTTAAGAATTATCTAAGGCTGAAACTATTAATTAGATTAATCAATTATTGAAATAATTTGCAACTAGCCTTGTAATCGTACAGTACAGAGATTCTACATGAAAGAGCCAGCCGCTCCTAGCATTGATTAAACCAAAATTGTAAAAAATATTTAAACATTTCGCTTTCAAAATGAAAACTAGTCAGTATGCTTCTTCCAGAACTTATCAAGTTGCATTTTTTTTTAACTTCACCTTGTTTATATTTTGTATAAAAGGAACCTTTCGCTAGTTGTTTGATTAAATATTGAGAGATTAACCGATGAGCAAATGAATCGTTAGTTTATCCAGGAGGTGGATCCACTGGTTGCCTGAAACTTTCAGTGTTTTTTAAGCAGCTTATGGGTCAGAGGCCAGTAGAAAGCGCTGGTAATGTGTTCTTTCCACGGTTTGTGCTCCACAGCGTTTCCTCTCATGTCTGTCATCGGCTCCCAGGCTTCTCTGACTGATAGCTGGACGCCGCAGTTTGTTTCAAACGTTTCCAGTAGCTGCTGCTGCTGCTGGGTCGCAGTGCAGCTGCTCTGTCAGAATACTGCAGCTCTTGACATGAACACCCGCCTTCATCCATGCTGTTAGCGAGCAGCCGCTGTTAGCAGGCCGTCAGACGAGACCAAAGCCCCTTTCCGATTGAAATGACGCGGCTTTCCCCTGTTTTTTCTCTTCCTTTGAAGCGTTTAGAGATGGGCGTTCAGCGCTGCTGCTGGGGGGTTTCAGAGGCCTCAGAGTGCTCGGGCTCAGGCTGTAGCGTGCATCTCGATAAAACAGGATGTGGTGGAAGTTTGGTTATTGAGAGTTTCTTTTCATGTGAGGTTTATGAATAAGGCAGTGCCACCGTCTTTGCTCTTTGAACCCAACAGAAATAACAGTTGAATGCATGAAGGATGCTTTTAGTGTCAGCTGTAAACTTCACTCTGACACTGAAACATGTGACCCGCCGGTTGCATTTGGAGTGAAAGGTGAATCTATAAAAAGTGAAACATTGATTCCATGTGTTGATCATCATATTTCATGTTTAGCAGATTTATGTCTGATTAAATTGATCTAACACTAATTGGTAGCGGGAGCAGAGCGTAAATGCGGCGCTTAGATTCCCTCAGAAGCAGATTTTTATTGTTTGTTTTTTGCATTTGCTGGAGCCATTTGATGCATATCTTATTAGCAGCACATCACTTCTGGTTTTCAATCAGATAAATGTCCTTTTCCTTCCTCCACTGGGTTTACTGGTTTCGGT